CCCAATGTAGGGCTCAATCCCAGGACCTGGGATCATGACCTGAGCCGAAAGCACACACTTAACGACTTAGCCACCCAGGCACCCCAAGGCGAGGTTGTTTTAAGCTAAAAGTGTCAGGAAATAGTTCACATAAGAACTAATACAGACACTCAGCCGAGAAAGATATGCAGGATTAAGACATTATGGGACAGGAGGGTAATGGTGTAAAGGCCAGTTCAGACAGGAAAACAAAGTGACAGTGCACTTGCAAAGAAATGAGAATAATGAATGGGGTTCAAAGTAAATGTAGTGTAAACAGCATGAAAAGGAATTGTAGAAATAGTTTACAAGGATATTGGATATTGATAAAGAAGGTTTTTGTGTGTGAAAAACCTTGGTAGTTCGGATGGTAAGAAATGTCCATGATACATTTCCCTGTTGTCCCAGGACATTTCTAGTATACATGTTGACCAGACTTGATCAGTATTAAATTAAGTATGGCAGCTGTTCAAATCGAAAGACCTCAGTTTAGATGATAAATTATATATGGTCATTTGGAAATGATCTTTGGAAAGGTACAAATGAAAAAGTCTGTCCATGAATTGATAATTGTTGAAACTAGGTAAGTACGTGGTGGTTCATTATACTACTATTTTCTTTAAATAATGGTATGTACTTCCCAAAATTAAAAAAAAAAAATTCTTAAACGACATTCATAGGAGATGAAATAGTATTTCTATGGCATTAGTAATTTAATAAAACACAATATTTTCACATCACTCAATGTTTATCAAATAAGAAAAATCATTAAAAATCAAAAACACATTTTACCATTTTAAGGTGACTAAAATTCATCTTCTTTCTGTAAGAAACTGATAATTTCAAGCAAGAATGAAAACTAAGAATACATACTCTAGTCGCTCTTCTTTTGCTTAAAGATATTTTCATTCTTATTTCCACTATAAATGGTTTAATTGAGAAATTATAGTAAAATCTCAAGAATATATGAAATTTCCTTAATTTTGACAATGTGCCACTTTCTATACTGATTCTGCCAACTGATTCAAGAGTTTTATGTATTTGGGGTTTTTTTTGTCAGACAGAAAATCTGTAAGTTCACCCAAGTTAGAACATTCCACAAACAAAATTCTTCTATTGCAAAATCTCAAATTGCAAAATACTTCTCCAGAAAATTGGCAAATATTGTCAATGTACAAAAAACAAAGCTTTTTAAAAGATAAATTGTATTTATAGCCTACAGTATCATAGGTTTTTAAATTCTTATATGTAGGTCCTTATTCAAAGGGTTACATGCACCCCAATGTTTATAAGCAGCATTATCAACAATAGCCAAATTCTGGAAAGAGCCCAAATGTCCACTGACTGGTGAATGGATAAAAAGGATACACACACACACACACAGGAATATTACTCAGCCATCAAAAAGAATGAAATCTTGCCGTTTGCAATGACATGGATGGAGCTAGAAAGTATTATACTAAGTGAAATAAGTCAGAGAAAGACAAATACCATATGATTTCACTCGTGTACGGAATTTAAAAAACAAAACAGATGAACATGAGGCGGGGGCGGGGGGAGGCAAGCCAAAAAACAGACTCTTAACCATAGAAAACAAACTGATGGTTACTGGAGGAGAGGTGAGCAGGGGGACGGGTTAAATGGGTGATGGGTATTAAGGAGGGCACTTGTGATGAGCACTGGGTGTTGTATGTAAGTGATGAATCACTAGATTGTACATCTGAAACTAACACTACACTATGTTAACTAATTGGAATTTAAATTAAAAACTTGAAGAAAAATGAAACAAATATATTTCCATCACCTGTTAAATAACAGACACACATTAGCAGAAACAAATTTCACTCATTTGTAAGACGTATACAATTAAGGATATAAGGTATAACTACATCATTTTATGCAAAATTTTATTAGACCATCTAAGCTTAAAAGTTACTATTATCATATATAATTTTGCTCATTTTCTCGAATAAAACATAGTACTCTGAAAGGTCTATTCTCATTCTAGTGTATCAAAAATATTACAAAGCCTGTGTCCTTCAAATCTAATTATAAATTCAATAAATAAATCTAGTGATTTTATGCTAAGTGAAACAAGTCAGTCAGAGAAGAACAAATATCATATGATTTCACTCATATGTGGAATTTAAGAAACAAAACAAATGATCAAAGAAAAGAGACCAAAAAAAAGACTTAAATACAGAGAACAAACTGGGAGAGGGGAGGAGGATGGGTGAAATAGGTAAAGGGGATGAAGAGTGCACTTATTGTGATGAGCACTGAGTCATGTATAGGATTGTTGTATTATGATATTGTACAGCTAAAACTAATATAACACTGTATGTTAATTATACTTGAATTTAAAATTTTTTTTTAAATCTAATGATTTTAAATTGTTCCTTTAAAATAAAGCTTATTTTTTCTTTTCTTTTTTTTTTTTCAAAGATTTTATTTATTTATTTGACAGAGAGAGACACAGCGAGAGAGGGAACACAAGCAGGGGGAGTGGGAGAGGGAGAAGCAGGCTTCCCGCCGAGCAGGGAGCCCGATGCGGGGCTCGATCCCAGGACCCTGGAATCATAACCTGAGCCGAAGGCAGGCGCTTAACGACTGAGCCACCCAGGCGCCCCTTATTTTTTCTTTTAAAATTCTATCCTGAGCGGCCGTCTTGGCACAGTGGGCAGCGCGTCAGTCTCATAAAATTCTATCCTGGGTTTTAATTACTGAAAATCCACATTTTTTTTTACTTATTTATTAAAAAAATCTACATCATAAATATGCTCTATAAAACAAAGACTTCTATTATTAACTTATTTATATGTATTAACTTCTCTTTAGTCACTGTAACAACTGACTTTATACCCAACATTATTACAAAGAAAGAAACAGGTCTATTGACAAGTACGATATTACTTTCAGCCTAATGTTTAAAAACGTTTAAGCTTCAAAACATACATTGCCACTTAAATAAACTATCTTAACAAATAATGACTGGGATGTTTTTCCTCCAATTTTACACTCAGCTGAGGCAGCAAAAGCTATCGTTACGTTTTAAAAAGAAAAAAGAAAGTAACTCTAGGCTCCTAACCTTATTTTAAAAGGGAAAAGCAGCTACCAAGGAATACAGACTCTAAGTGTAAAATTAATACAGAGTCACAACAGAGATATCTGACTTTGCAGAAGCCAAGACACGCATATCTTTGATAAATGATGATGGGCAGAAGACCACTGATAAAATGTAGGATAAACACACTCAGAAAAACCTGGAATCTGAATCTGGCTGAGATGTTCATACTCTGTCCTGATTCACTGCTCTGCAGCCCACATACATAGAGGTAATAGATAGATTCATACATGGTTCCTTAGATACATTCTATTTCTCTAATTCTTTTAATTATAATAATGAGTAATATAAATATAGTGTAATATATTAATGCATAAGACCTGTATAAGAAGAATATGCTAAAACAGGCCATGAAATATCCAAAGGTGCCCATATTATGTATAAAAATACATTTGTGAATGAAGATGCTATTAACAAAAATATGCTCCTCAAAAACTTTTTTAATTTCTTTACATGTAGATGTGACAATATAAGATCCTGCCTAATGATCTATATTTAATGATTATTAACCATAAATAAATTTCTGAGTATCATAAAGTCAATGATAGCTGTATTAATGTACTCATTTGTTCAAGAAATATTTAATGAGAGCCTACATTGTGCTAGTTTAATGTCCCAGGGGCTAGAGATATGAATGGTATACATTAGGGTTTGTGAGAAAACAAAAAATATCTCAATGAACATGATCTCCATTATTATCTTTGTAGATCTCCAAGAGACGATTATAAGGTCAAGAAGACAAATTGTCATAATTCTTCTTCCTAGTCTACCAAAGTATAAACTATGCATTATAATGAATATATATATTATATATATATATAACATTATGTGTTATATATCATATATAATGTATGCAACTACACATAAATGATAATGTATTAGTTCTATCTCAGGAACATGACCTGTTATCAGAAAGGATAATGTCTATTACCCAGGGCTTAATACATAGTAGATATTAGGTAAACACCTAATGAATAAGTATGTAAATAGCTGTGATATTTCAAGATCGACAACAATATGAGTTGGATTCCCTAGTTATAAAAAAACTGAAATCTGTTCCAACAAAACTATCTCTACAGCACATGCATAATCAGACTCTGAAAAAAACAGCTAGAGCTTTGATGGAGAATTATAGAAGTTAACATCCAAGAATGAAAACTACTGTTTTGCTAGTGTGTAGTGAAAAACAAATTCTAGTATATGTGCTGCCGAAGCGAGCACGAAAAAAAATTCTAACTCCAGACTTTCTTTGGACTCCGCTCCTGCTGGAATCTCCACCCTGTTGGCCTGCCCTACAAATCTGGGACTTGCCAGTCCCTACAACTGCATGAACCAATTCCTTTCAGAAAAAGAACCAATCGCCCAATCAGTGAGTATGTATGTGGCTCCAGATTCCTGCACTTTCAAACAGTACTGGAAGTCATGGGAGGTGGAGTAAGAAGGAGGGAGAGAAAGAAAGACACTGGCACATTTCTCTAAGTTTCAAATCCCTCATGTATGATAATCCGTCATCTCTTCAAGTATGTTATGTTGATGAAGTAACTCAACAACAGCTTTGAAAGTATGACATGGCTACATGAACCTAAATTAATCACAATTACTCAAGGAGAATATGTAAGGAGAAACTGAGGCAACACAGCACAAGCTTGCTCAATAACAGGAAAAAAATGTGTTGTGGGTTGTAAATACATACCATAAAATAAGAGTAGTAAATAAGAGATCCACAAAAACACAGAAATATCATAACAATTGAATAACCACGAAATATTGATGTTACGATTACAATAAGTTTGCTGATTCTATCAAATAGCATAAACTCAAAAGTGTATTATAAGAAATAAACCAAGTTGATACATACTTGTGACAAAAAATTTTTTTGTGAAAGTACAGCTATCAAAGGCAGCAATTTTCTCCTGCAAGACTACAACAAGGATCCTAAAATTAGAGGGAAAAAAACAACAAAAATGTGAATGTGAAATTCTGTAAATTAAATCATTAAATTTAAAGAAGTATCTACCAATGCAATTTAGGCAAGAAACATCAGCCTCTTAAAATGTAAAAGTACAACCACAAAATACTTACTGTAATCAAGAGAGACATGAATAGAAGAAGAAAAGTAACAGAACAAACTACAGCTCAAAACATTATTTTCCTCTAAATAAAATTTTATTTACATTCATTATAAATCAAATAAATCTATCTTCATTAGGAAGGTATGAAATCAATAAACTGCTGGCTATTTACTAAAAGTGTTTTTCCAGTGCTGGCTCAAAGTCATGGAATTAAACGCAAAATGGATTTATGTAACCTGTCACTTAAAATGATTGCTGAATTTCCCAACACAAGAGCGAAAGAAAGAAAGAAAGTAAACTCAGACAACTGTTATTCAGTATAATTGAGTCATTTCTGATTGACTCAATATATTAAAATTTAAGCAGGATATGTATGAACTATATTTCTCCCAAAGCCCAAGATTTATAAAAAATTAGGAAGTTAGTTATAAAATATTTTATAACCAAAATTTCTAAAATACATCCAAAATGAAGTTATTTTATAAATTAGTATTTTGAGTACTTCTCTTTGCATAACATTAAGGTAAAGACCCAAATTTCAAAGTTATTTTAATAATCAAATAAAAGATTATAATTGTTACATATTTAACATACTCAGGGTATTTTTCCAAATTTGGGGGAGGTAAATCTGAGTAACAGATGTTAATGATGAGTGGGAAAAAAGAAAATGTTGTCTTTAACATGCATGCTTTATTAATCTTGTTCATTTGCTAATGCAGAACAAAATCCTTAACACAGCTGACAACACATAATAAATGATTCTGTCATGGCACTTAACATAAGAAACCAACCAATCAGCAGACCCAGGTTAAAAGGCTTAGCGAATCCATAATAAGAAGGTGACAAACTCAAATGAGAGAAAATGCAGAGAGACAAACAAATATGAAAAGGTTTTCTTATAATCAAGCAGCCCCTCCCCATAATATAGTAACATACAAAATCATTTCCACAAAGACGGTTTAATTTATTACAAATATTGCTAAGTCCAGAAGACTGTACCTTACAGCTGATTTGCAAAAACAAATGAAGAATTAACCAGGGAGAATCAGAGCTGACATTTTATAGAGCAAAATCTAAGCAGTATCCTGACATCCACACAATAACTTTTCCTCTAACCTTTACCACATCTGAACTCATGCAACTTCTAAATGGAAAATCAATGTTTTAAAATTACATAATGTATCCAAATCAACAGATTTTTTTTGTTGTTGGAACATATCTTCAATGGTTTTTCTTTATGAACCTTAGCTACATCAACCAAATTTCCAGAGAATTTCATAATCACTTTTCATTAATGACATCTCATTTCATAAATCACTTTTATCTGCTTTTACTCCTACTCAGAAGTTTCACAATCATAATCACCTATGATGAGCACACAGATGACTATGAAAAGATTAACTGTATTAATTTTCAAGGTAATTTATATATGTTAAGATATTAAATGTGCTTATTATTTCACAGCTAAAATTAAAAGCAACAAACACAAAAATATTTGTTGTAAGAAAAGCTGACCTAACTGCATCATCCAGAAACACAGTACTTGGAACAAGCGCAGATTTACTGTAACAGTTTAAAAAAATAATGCAAGAAATACTTTTTTAAAAATTTAACTGCATTGTGTTTTTCTGTTTTCTAATATATTTGTGTATTTGTAATACAGGTAAATTATGACCTAAAAATCGTATTTGTACTTAATCTCCCTTTTCAAGTGTGTTCAATTTTCTGTTTGGCTAAATATGTACGTAATCTATTTTGTGGGAGCACAAAGGACACTTGAAGAAGAGCTTTCATTATATTTTCCCAGGTTAAATATATTACCCACTGGATCCACCCATTCAATAATATTGATTTTGAATAATTTGATGTGTCATTGGATAATTACATTATCCCAGCAATAATATTTCTGTTTCCTATAATTTTGAGTTTGATATTATTTGAAGTATAAATATGCATAATAATTAGATCTCCACTATGAACTGCACACTATCACTGAACAGCTTTTCTTTGTCCTATTTCATGTTTTTGTACTTGAATTCAAAGATGTTCATCATTAGTATCAAAGCCCACATGTTCTTGTAGTTTGTATTTGTCAGGTATGTCTTTACCCTCTTTCTATAGTCAACCTTTCTGAGTCATTCTTTGAATCTCTTTAAAATCTAACCCGAGAGACTTTTATTACAAAATTTATTTTATATTGACACAGCATAAATTACTGTGTTTTCCATGTTCCATGTGTTTGCTTTTTGATGAGATGTAAGATTTACAGTTTCCATCCATGACCTCGATCAAGACATTTACCATTGCAGGGCTGCAGTTTTCTCAGATGTAGAAGGAAGTATTGAGTAATAGCAGATCCTTAAAGCCCCTATCTCCGCTAATGTTCAATGGCTATAAATTAATTCTGCATTATCGTTAGGTCAGGTTCAACCCAGATCTGAGTTTTCCTAGAGATATCAACAAAATAGATTTTAAAGAAGGAAAATCTATCTAGTCCATGTTTTAGCTCTACTGTGAAATAACAATATTTAAAAGTCATTTTTATTGTTCAGAATATGCTTCATTTTGGTGAATGCTAATAGGAAAGTTATATTGCATATCATAAACCACAGAAGCACAAACATTCTATCTATTAAAAAGTTATATTATACATGTAAAAAAGTTCTTCAAAGCAATATTTAATCTTTGTACATTTGCTCAGATACTTTTTATTTTTTTCCATTTCAGTTTTTAAATGCTAGTTATGACTCACTAAACTTAATTCACTCATGGGTCAAGACTGGAAGTTTGAAAACATTCATTCAGAAATCTTAACAGTTACTCCATTTGGCAGAATTCAGAAGGTATTTTGTGACTTCTTTACAAGATAAGTCAACGATGGTAAATAATACTAGTAGAGCTCTACCTGCCCAGGAGGTATCTTACCTTGAACAAGAATCACAGGAAGAAATTCTTACCGTTTGTTGCAATGGAGATCATAGATAGGTGTTTTAAACTGAATAGACTTGACCATCTCCCCAGTACGAAGTGAATAGAGATCTACACAACAGTAAGGTGGACTTGTGCTAAAAAAAAAAAAGAGAGACAAAAGCCATTATTTTTTAAAATGTGGGAGGGCCAGTAAACTCTACATTTTCAATGATTCATTATATACTATACAGTGGTTAACTGAACATAACAAAAAAAATTAATGAAAATTTTAAAAAGAACATGAATTATTCATATGGATATGAATAAAATACATGGATGATCAATAAAAAGCTCTACATTTTCTTATTAACATGACATAAAACCCCTAATTAACAAGGAAATTGATATGAACTATTAAAAAAAAATCATAATATATCCCAATTAACTCATTTCAGAAATGCAAAATTTGGGAAAAAGAAAATGAAACTCACTCACCAAATTATTACTATAGAAAAGAAAAAAAATCATGAGATTTTTAATAAATCTTAATAAAGGCAAAGAAGTATTTGATACTTAAAAAATTGTTCACCATAAGAAACATTTCACTAATCTGATCAAGTACAGCAACCTTAAAACTAATAAAAACTATCAATCATATGTAATGGTAAAACACTGAAAATCGTCACCCTAAAATCAGGAACTAGACAAGAATACTCATTATCAAACCACATATACTCAACATAGTATGGAAGGTCTTGTGCATAAGGCAAGAAAATAAATTACTATACGGAAGAAATAAAGCTGTCATTATTTGCCAAGAACTTGACTGTAAGTATAAAACTCAGTAATACAAATATGTATGTCCAAATATACATAAGACAACCCCATAATAGGGGTGCCTGGGTGGCTCAGTTCGTTAAATGAGTCATGCCTTCGGCTCAGGTCATGATCCCAGGGTCCTGGGATGGAGCCCCACATCGGGCTCCCTGCTCAGCAGGGAGTCTGCTTCTCCCTCTGCCCCTCCCCCCATTCATGCTTGTGCTTTCTCTCTCTCTCTCTCTGAAATAAATAAAATCTTTAAAAAAAAAAAAAAAAGACAACCTCACAATAAAGATGAACCATTAATATATGGATTGTTAATATGGGTTGTTAATTAATTGATATATCAATTTACCCGGGTCACTAATACAACAGCACCTGTATTTTTATAAATTAAGCACAAACCATTATAAAGTGAAATTTTAAAATATACATGTTGAATATATGAATATACTGAATATCTTGGAATAAATCTAAGACTTTGACATATTTACACAAAAAGAAACAAAACAAAACAAAGCAAAATAAACTGAAGTATATACCATAGGCTGACAGAGTTTCTAAACTGATACAGTTCTACCCTAATAAAAAATCGAAGAATGAGACCTCATTCTAAAATGTATATAAATATGCATTCCACATGATCAGACTTATATTGGAAAGGTACAGTAATTAAGACACTGGGTTCTTGGGCACCTGGGTGGCTCAGTTGGTTAAGCGACTGCCTTCGGCTCAGGTCATGATCCTGGAGTCCCGGGATCGAGTCCCGCATCGGGCTCC